AGTCAACCCTTGAAAGCATTGTATGAAACTCACTCATGCAGTATTGTCAGGGAAGTTTCTTTGAACTTGTCAGCACTGTAATTGTGTCAGTCATCAATGGCTTTGGCTGCACATTGCTAGCAGGATACTTTAGGTACCTTTCACCCATATGAGCTTCAGGGTTGTTTAAGATTTACCCAGAATCCTCTATTTCAGTGGTACAGTAGGGATAAGAAATGAAATCTTTCACTTCTTACTCACTGAATACAACTGCAGGAACATGGGTCCATCCTTAAGGACCATGTCCCGTGTGAAGCCCATGACAAGTAGCACTGTAAGTAGCAATAAGTTATTAATCACCAGATTATATCATTTGGGTTCCTGTCAGCTTTATCCTCACACCTTGCCTTGTGCATCTGCCTGTCCTATCTTTCCACTCTTTTGGTTGTGTTTTAAATTACCTCTGTGAGGACTGGCACCCGAACTGTGTAACACAGGTAATAACAAGTGATGAGTAACATGCAACTGAGGCTGTGAGTTTCACAACTGAGTTATCAAGCCTTCCCAAGTCTGTTTGCATGGTGAGTGAAGGCATGTTCTCAGCAACTCAGTAAAATTGGTGTGTCCATCTTGAGAAAGGGCATTATGGGAAAGAACTGTTTGAATTTGATCTTGGTGCTTATAATGGATGTCTAGTCAGCAGAGAGTGAAATTGCCTCCTTGGGTTTTAGATCCTTTCACCTCTATGAAGTAGTTAAATGTAAAATGTGAGTAGGTGTGTCAGAGGTCCGTTATAATGCCAGGAAATGTTGCTACCTAGTCCTAAAATATTACACTACAAATAAGGAAGAAGTAATTAATTAGAAAAATATGTATTTAAATTAGATGCTATATTTGAAAGTAACATAAGAAAGTGGTTTGGAAGTGGAAAACTTTGCAAAAGAGAGGCATTGAAATTTGAATCTGGGAAGACTGGATGTATACTTTTCTGTAAATGAATTGGTGTTATGATTTTGGGCATGAGCATTTTGCTGGACTCTTCTGACAGTTTGTCACGCTGAGAAGTTTAAGGCAAGGTAAGGTTCTCTTGGGTGCAGCCCTCCTCTTAGTGTAGCCTGAGAAGTCAGATGGGTGAGCACCTGCTGCACGTCTGCCTGTGGGAGCAGGGGCTGCCACTGTTGTGTCCCAGCTCTAACAGCTCTGATCAGGCATAGCAGAAACAAATGTTTGAAGTGAACAGTTCTTCCTTGAAATAGCAAAATTATGTGACTTGCAGTAGTCTGTTACATTTTTTTCAAGTAGTTTTGTTACACAAAATCCTGTTCCAGCCCACCTTTCCAGCATTACTGATTCAGGGCAAGCAGGGCTCTAGGTTACACTGAGGACCCAGCTCAGCAGAGCAGCCTCGGGCACTGCGCGCTGGGGCGAAGTGTTGTTAATGGTTCCCAAGGCTTTTTTTAACAGTAGGTTTGGCTAACACGGGACAGCCTGAGAACAAGCCCTTGTTAGCCCTCAGCAGCAGGACAAGGCCAGGCCCCAGACGCAGGGGGAAGCTGGGGCGCCCCGCCATTGACGTCAATGGCAGTGGGGCCCACTGGCGCGCAGGTAGCCGTGGGAAAGGCATCCCCGAGCAGGGCTGCCTGTGCCCTGGCCCCTGGCAGCCTGGGCAGGGTGCCCAGCGGTGCCTGGCCTGCACCCCGTGATGGTGGAGGGGCAATCAGGCTTTGAGGGCCGTGAGGGTGCTGGAGGTTCAGTATCGTGTCTGATTGTAAAAGCAGGCTGGTTTATTGTTGAACAGCAGCTCTCAGATCATGAGTCCAAGACATGATTTGAAACTGCAGCCAAGTGTAGTATTGTGGTTGGAGACTTTTTGTTCCTCCACTGAAATGTTTGGGTTTGTTTGGGCCAGAAGTGTGCCCAGGGCTTGGCTCGGAGTTTCAGGGATCAGTTATAATGGAGACTGCAGCCAGGAGGTGTTTAATTCACTTTAATTGGACTACCTGAACCTTGTTTAAATTAGTGTGAGAAGCAGCAGATACTAGCATCCCTGTCTTGCTCCCCACGGTAAAGCAAGTTCCTAAATACTAAATCGTGAAGCCATCAGCATCCCCTCCTGGGGCCAAACCCGCACAGCCGCCTCCCTGCACATTGAGGGAGGTGAGAGACGTTAAAGAAAGAAATGGGCAGGTGAAGGGGGGTGGTGGCTGGGCTCGGCGGGGGCTGCGCCCGGCCTCTCTCCGCAGAGCCTCCCGCACTCTGTCACCCGCCTCTCCCCCCGCAGCTCCTGGACCTCTTTATGGTGTGGGACTGGTCCACCTACCTGGCGGACTACGGGCAGGCCACCTCCAAGTACCTGCGGGTCAACCCCAGCACGGCCCTCACGCTCCTGGAGAAGTAAGTGCGGGGGCCGGAGCTGCCGGCGCGGGATGCGGAGCGGGGCCGGGGCCGGAGCCGCCCTGCCGGGAGCGGCGGGGCCGGGCCGCGGGAGCAGCCGGCGGCTCCCGGAGTGCCGCTCGGGGCAAGGGAGACGCTGAGCTTTGGCCGTGGTGAAGCGGTGCGGGCGTCTCGGCCGGTCTGGCGGGCGGGCAGGGAGAGCAGGGCGCGTTACCGGCAGCGCGGTACCAACCTGCTGTAAAAACCGCATCAAACAAAACACGTTGTGGTTTAAATACGCTTTCTAACAGTGTTTTCTCTCCTCTCCTGCCTGCGATGAAAATGTCTTTTGCAGAGTTCACAGAGGGTATGTATCGCCTATATTGTTACAAAATATTGTTTCTGTAACTTGCCTAATTTCCCGAATTTCGTTTTTGTATCCGTTGGTATGGGAAATCAACAATATAGATGCCCGTTATTTATGGTGAATGAAATTCACCCATTCGCTGAGTCTGAATTTATCATGGAAGCAGATGATACTAACGGGTTTTCTGACTTGATTCTCTCCTAAGGCAATTGGTAGGATCAGGGTCCTGCTGAAGGGGGATTTGCTTAATACTTACAGGTTATTTGTGAAGTAGTATTTGTTGAAACAAACACGTTCTGCACTTCTGCATTGCAGAAGTTTAATTTAAGAACACATAGTGAACAGGTTTTGTAATCTTCCAGTTCTTATTAGCAGAAAGATCAAAAGAAGAACATTAGTAAACCAATCTAAATAGTCGGATTTTTCCTTTTCAATTTATGTTTCTGATGTGTTTGTCATTTGTTTTTTTATTTCTCTAGAATGAAAGACTCCAGCAAAAAGAACAACATTTTTGCTCAGTTCAGGAAGAATGACCGTGACAAGCAGAAGCTAATAGAGACTGTAGTGAAACAACTTAGGAGTTTAGTGAATGGTATGTCCCAGCACACATAGGCCTCTTAAATCGACAGTATCTCATCCCACCAAGAGATGTTTCTTATCCACTATTTCTACTAAGCAAATGGTGATACCAATTAGGACTTTTGTTTGACCGAGAAAAGGAAAAATGCAGTAGATAGATTGTACATGTAGTCTTCAACAAACAATTCTTTGTACGTATTTTTAATGGGTCGAATACTATTTTGTATATTGTAAACAAATGGTGAAAAACGAGGTTGTACAATAAAAACCAGCGCAGTCATACTGTACATGGAACTGTTGAACTGTAAATATGTTATTTAAATATCTGCAGATATGGTGTCCAAAATTTTGCTCCGAGTAGGAATTATTTGAGAAATGATCCCTTAGTTGCTGTTTTCTGGTTGAATCCTAATTTAAAGTTTTTAAGCTTGAGATACTTGTATTTCAGATGCCGCTTACTGTTTTCCTGCATTAAATGTATATTAGCCCTAAAGTGATTTGACATAATTTTGTATACCAGGTTTTGTAGTCTGGAGGTATGAAAAGGTCTTCTGATTTTTAGTACCTTTGAAAACTACCCGAGAATTAGACTTGATATCTATTTAGCATTAGGACTTACAGGCGTTGTTCTCCAAAAGGGTTTAATCTTGAGGTTGTGAATGTAAATAACCATTTGATTTCTTTATAATGTGACATGTTGTTTCGTTTTGGTTTTGTTCCTCAGGGTTACTATTTCTAACTGTACTTTTGTAAGATCTCGGGTTCTTTATCCCAGGTTGCAGTAAGGAATAGGTTTGCCGCTGTTGTTTTCGTGCCGCATCTGTTTGTTAGTTTGCGCTTTCTCCTGCCAGCCCCATCCCAGCGATTGGCATTTTGTCCCACTACCGGTCTCTTTGCACTGTCCCCTCCTGGCTATTTTAGACACTATAGAGAATGTCTAACAAATACAAACCAAATGGAACGTGTAAAAATAATGTACATTTCGCTGTATTTTTAAGTTATTGACGGTCTAAATACAGTAATATAAACCTCACCCGTATTGCTGTTTAATTTCACACACGGGAGCACACCTCGGAGCCGGTTTCGCGGGACCTGTGCAGGTCCCGACTCATTGGTGATTTTCCCCTGGGAAGGCGGCCGGGGATCCGCGCGGCCCCGACGGCGGGGTGCGGGCCGGGAGCGCTGCAGGCCGGGGAGCCGGGGGCGGTGGGGCTGCGGAGCAGGGCTGGGGCGCTCCCTGGTCGGGGGAGCCCGGGACGGGACTCGCTACCTGGGCAGGCCGGCCCGAGGGGGCGCCGGGAGCTGCCGGCGGGGCGGAGGGGGTGCCCCGCACCAGCAGCGGCCGTCCCGCCTCCGGCTCGGGGCGCCCCGAGGGGCCGGGCGGGGGCGGGAGGGGCGCCGGCCCCCAGCCCCGGGGGCTGCCCCGAGCCCCCGGCCGCTGTCCCCGGCCCTCCCGCGCCAATCACCGCACTTGGCCGCGCTGCTTAAATATGCAGCGGATACGTCATCTCCGAAGGTGGATCGGGCGTAAGTGGCCAATATCTATATAAATGTGGCCGAGGGGCGAACCGGCAGCAGGAGGCGAGCGGGGCCGGGCGGGCAGCAGCCGGCAGGGCCCGTCGCGCAGCGCCCGTAGCCGAGTCGCGGGGCGCCGGCCCCCCGTGCCTGACAGCCGCACCCGGCCCGTCCCCGTCAGAGCAGGATGCCGGCCGGGCCCTCCTGGCCCGAGGCGGCGGCGCTGGTGCTGCTGGCCCTGGCTGTGCTGATCACCCTGTGCCGGCACCTGTGGGCGCTGCGCTGGAGCCTCAGCCGGGACCGCGCCAGCGCCCTGCCCTTGCCCAAGGGCTCCATGGGCTGGCCCTTCTTCGGGGAGACTCTGCACTGGCTGCTCCAGGTGAGGCGCCGGGGGACGGGGCGGGGTGGAAGGGGCTGGCGGGAGCCACGGGCTGACCCGCAGCTCGTCCCCAGGGCTCCCGCTTCCACAGCTCTCGGCGGGAGCGGTACGGAAATGTCTTCAAGACCCACCTCCTGGGCCGGCCTGTGGTGCGGGTGACAGGCGCTGAGAACATCCGCAAGATCCTGCTGGGTGAGCACACGTTGGTCAGCGCACAGTGGCCTCAAAGCACCCATATCATCCTGGGCTCCCACACTCTGCTCAGCTCCACTGGTGACCTGCACCGCCAGCGCCGCAAGGTGAGCCTCACAGCCACCCTGACAGGGCACACCCAGCCCAGGCAGCGCCCAGGCCTGGCCTCGGTGGCATGTGTGCCCCCCCTGCTTTAACTACCTGCCTCTCTTCCCCCTTCTCCTCCTAGATCCTGGCCAGAGTGTTCAGCCGTGCCGCCCTGGAGAGCTACCTGCCGCGGATCCAGAAGGTTGTGAGCTGGGAGCTGCGGGGCTGGTGCATGGAGCCAGGCTCTATCGCAGTTTATTCCTCCGCTAAAACCTTAACTTTCCGCATTGCAGCTCGGATTCTGCTGGGGCTCCGCCTGGAGGAAAAGCAGTTCAAGGATCTGGCCAAAACTTTTGAACAGCTGGTGGAGAACCTCTTCTCCCTGCCCCTGAACATACCCTTCAGTGGGCTGCGCAAGGTACTGCCGCCTGCACTGCTCCCTCTGCCCGGGGCAGCGCCTGGGCCCTGGCGGCACAGACCCCCTGTCCTTAGGTCCACCAAGGGACATTTCTGATGGGCCAGGACATCTGCAACACCCCATTCTAGGTCTGAGGGCTTGGTGTCTTACCTACCTCAGCCATATCCCCTTCTCTCTGCACTTCTCACCTGCTTTTGGCCGGCTTCCAACACCTCTGGGCACTGGCTCCAGCTCATTAGTCAGCATAGGGCTCCTCTTCTCCCTCATCCCACATGTTGCCTCTGGTGAGTCCATGATGTCTGACCCTATTCCATCTGAACACGTCAGCCCATGGCAGAAGTGTCTGTGGGCATAAGCACAAAGACAGGTGGGCACAGCACACCTCAGCTTAGCACCTCCTCTGAAAGTCAGGCAGGCTGAGAACTTAAGACCTGCTTATGGTCCTCGGTCCCTTGTAGTCCAGCAGCCCAGAGGCAGCCCAGGCAGAGGGACAGTCTCCTCCGCCTCTTTCAACCTGCAGTTTCTTCCCTGCTGCTCTGTCCCTCTTTGCCTGCCTCTCCACACTCCTGCTCTAGGTATAGGTCCTGTGTACCATTCTTCCTCTCACATTCCTCCCTCCTCTAGCTTTGGGTTTTTCATCCTTACCACAGCTGAAGTCTCCTGTCTGCTTTAGACAGGTCTTCCCTCATCTCTCATTTCCACTGTGAGCTCTGCCCTTTTGGATCACCTTACCCAAACAGTCTCAGTTCTCCCCCAGCCTCCCTGCTACTCTTCATCAAAGCTCTTGTCTTCCCTGTCCAGTTTCCCTCTGCAGGTTGTCACCAGTATGAGCTTTCATCCCCCTGCCCTCTCTCAGGTCAGCCAAAGCCTGTCTGGCCCCAGACCAACATCTTCAACTTGCCTTTAGGTCCCCTTGTTGTTCACCTCGCTCCCTGCCCAGTTTACTTTGTCCAATCCTTCCCACCTCAAATCTAAGCCTTTGTTTCTTCTTCCCAATATCTGGCCATGGCCATTTTAAACTTCAAATTTCTGGTCCTTGTGGCTTTTGCAGGAGACATTTTTATAGAGTTGTACAGTGTGACTCCATCATCCCACTTTGCAAAGGCTTTGCTGATCACTTGACTTGCTGAGATCTTACAGGAATTTTTTGCTGCACTGGAGTGCAACACACCTGAAGATGAGCTGACTGTGATTAATGTGCCTTTATCCACTGTTCCCATGTAAAACCATTTGTGCCTTGCTGTCTGGGCTCAGTTTTCTTGTTACCTTTTCTTTTCCCTTGGAATAAGCTTCCTTTGGACCTAACACATAGATTTGCCCAGTGCAGATGCCTCTGAACTTTGTAGCATGGGTTTACTGTTGTCTTTTCCTCCCAGAGAGTTTCTTGGGACTTGTTGCATTCGATTCACAACAGCAAGGCAACAGCAGGTGCAGCATTTCCCCCCAGACTGCTGCCTCTTGCAAGGCTCTGGGGCTGGGCAGCAGATTAAACAGTTCTTGCTGTTACAGGTCCTTGGATTAAGGATTGCTACACTTGGGTTCCCCTGGTCTCTCTAGAGAGGGGGACAGTTCCTAAGGTTCTCCTGAACTGTGTGTGCCTCTCACAGGGAATCAAAGCACGGGACATGCTACATAAGTTTATGGAGAAGGCTATACAGGAAAAACTGCAGAGAAACAACCCAGAAGACCACAGCGATGCTCTGGATTTCATAATGAACAGTGCCAAGGAGCATGGCAAAGAATTCACCATGCAGGAGCTAAAGGTAAGGAGAGCCTCTGCCTTGCAGTGCCACTCCTGACTCTTGGCTGTTTGAGAGATGTGGGCTGAGGGCCAGGAGGAGGCTTGTGGGGAGCTGGGGACCACCCCCAGCTGCTGAGGACACCAGCTCCTGCACTCAGCACACTCTTATGCCCTTGTAGTCTTATGTCTCTGCCATAGAAGGGACCTTTTAAAAGGGAATGAATGCCCTTCTACCTTTCCTCTTCAGGGCCACCAGCCTTAGCCTGATGTAGGATGCTGGTAGGGTTATGTGGCTGTGTTAAGGCTCTGCACATCTGTGCACTCAGTAACCTCCAGGACACTCTCTTGGAAGTATTCAGAGCTACCTGTGTGCTTCTCAAACACAGCCCAGCACCCAGCCTAGGGCAGGGTGTAGATCACATCACTGGACTCCTCAGGGCTGTGAGCCCAGAAATTTCTGAGGTGATTAAGCAGAATAGGTCTGGGGATGCAGCGATGGATTCCAGGTCATTCCCTATCACCTCCTCATTCATCCAATCATGTAGCTTGTGGATTGCTGTGATGAATGTGATGTATGGCTGTGACATAGGGATGAGCCCAGTAGTCCTTACTGAGCCAAAACCACCAAGTGAATGTGATGAGTGTTTTGCCACAGATCTTGGGAAAAAAATTTGTCTTTAGTACTGCACCATTCATAGTTCCAGATCACATGGTATCAGTGAATGATAGATGGCATTGCATTTATATAAGAAGTTTTGAAGCAGTTTTGCATGGGTACAGGAGCTGGATAAGATTTTAAAGTATTTGAGTATAGTTTAAAGGTAGTTTTACTATTTGTTTAAGTATTTCAGGATAACTATCCAAAGACTAATGTAAAAATGCAATCGCTAAATCTAAAATATTTGAAAAACTTTGAGCAACTATTAGATATAATTAGAACCAGTATATATTACTAAATATATTGTATTACAATTATTTATTACATTATTTAATCTAACAATGTTTTATTATAATGTGATTTTAAAAAATAATTGACAGATTCAAAATGTGATTAAGATGAATTAATCTCTGTTAGTATTCACATTAATATTATGCAAGAATAATTTCACAATCTCTCATCATATCCCTGACTCTGGCCACAAATGGAATAAGATATTAAATGTAACATAGATTGAGTGACATGGCAGCAACCTTGGGCCAGCTGATTCAAATTATAACATATTCATTTGTTGTAATGTACCTTCATGGTTAGAAAATTTCTGTATTTAACAAAATTAATTTCAGACTGAACTGCCTATGCTTGCAATTATGGCAATATTCTCCACCCTAATAAAACAGTAGTAGAGGTCTCATTTAATGAAACAGTGTAATTGGATAAAAAGTCCAAAGCTGTCTCAGAGTTGTGGATATATCTGTCTTTGACAAACACTTCAGACACTGGCACAAACTAGTCACTAATCTGCTTTTTGTTCAAATGATCTGGAAAGACAGTTTTCCCAGAAATTTTTCTAAATACATGTGATTTGTACTGCTGCTATGAACTCACCAGGGCCCTTGAAATGTAAAGGTCATTAAAAAGATGTTGCTTTGCCAATAATACTGTTTTAAAATATTTTAAACCTTGGGAAGATTTTAAAAACCCATCCTGTATAATAATGGTGTCCCTGGCTGGGTGTAATGCTGCCCCTTCTGCCTCCCAGGACAGGCACAGTACTGATGAAGAAGGTTGGGAATATCCTGCCTGGCAGTCACTGGTTCTGCTGGCCTTGCAGAGGCAGGGAGGGAAAGCTGTGACAGCAGCTGTGACCCACGTTCTGCAGCAGCACTGTCAGACGTTGATGCAAAGAGCATAAGGGCTGTTATTTCAAACCTAAGAGCTTGCCCTAAATTCCTTGCATGCTATTGAAATGTCTTGGGGTTTAATTGCATGTGGTGGAATTGAGAGGTTTCTTTTCATCTGTGTCTGTTACTTGTGAATGTAAAAATTCCTGCTAATGCCTGCAGGAGGTGTGATAGGGGCTGACAGGGATCTGTTGTTCCAGGGGTTTTATTTCAGCTGAAAGATGCCCTTGAGAGCTGCACTTTGGCAAAGCATCTAGACCAGCCAATATATGGCACTAGGGATGGTAACAGAGTCATCTTTGTTACATTATCCTTAACTTTATCAGATTTGAATCCAAGTACCTTCAGCCTTCAAGTGTTCTTCTCTGTGTTTGTGGCTTCACCTCTTTAGAACCGATTGTGTCAGAACAATTTAAAGTCCAGACACAGTCATGTGGAAGGGAACTGCTCTGTGTCCCTGTGGGATTTTGCCCCTGGGCTGGAGCCATTAGTGCCCGGTAATACCAGTCAGGTCCCAGGCCTTCCAGGGGGACAGTTCCTGGTACTCCTCCCTTTGGCTTCTCCTTGGGTTTGTCTCTGGCCTCAGCACTCCCAGCCATGTGCTGTGGAGCCACTGGCACCTTCAGATCTTGCTGTAGGTTTGAGCATTATGTTTGCTGTCAGAGATGTGTCATGCCATGGGCAACCCTTAACTTTCGGGAAACCATTTGCAAAAGTTGGTCAGAGGGTGCTGCAAACAGCCCCCAGCAGCCTGGCATGTGCTGTTCCGTACAGACCCTGCAGACAGCCCCACAAAGGCTGGGGGGCTGCGAGGGGACCCCTGACCTTGGACAAGGCACACATTACAGATTTGGCTGTGCTGTGGTCCATGTATCTGAGCTGAGTAACTTCCTAACTTGTTATGGATACCTCTGCTGTGGAGCTTTTGGGAACTCTGCTGTGCTTCAGGCTGTACAGCTTGACAAGCAAGCAAGTCCTTCGCCTGGTGTGTGCTCCCTGCTGTCCCCGGCAGCACTGTCAGCACTTCCCAGGCTGACCTGCTCTAGCAGAGGCCTTATGCTTTTGACTCTTGCCTTGAGTCCCCTCCCAGGTAAGATCAGTCACAACTGGAGATGGATCAAATACAACCCATTCAGCTGCCAGCGCATCTAAAATTTGTGCATAAACCACTGCCCATATCCACTGCCTGGACAGAAAAGTAAAAGTTGGGTGCAGAGGGGAATTGGCAGATGATGATAAAAAGCATAATACTTGAAATGTACTTCACTCAATGTGCTATAGTACATGGTAAAGTGCTGCCTTGGTAAATTGGTAAATCTTGTGAGGAAAGCTCAGAAGAGCTGGATTGGAGGTAATGTGTACTCATTCCAGCTGTGGTTCTGCAGCAGTGCCTTGGCAAGTGGATGTCCAGTTCATACAGAAATGCTTTGGTCCCTGCCAACCCAGGATGGGTGTGGGTTTGGGGAGAGCAGAGTGGGGGTCAGGGCCCCCTGCACAGGGGCGAAACCTGCAAAAGGTGAGAACAGTCTGAGACACAATCTCTTTGAAATGTTATTCAAACTTGTAATTTTCATTCCTCTCCCAGGAATCAGCAATTGAGCTCATATTTGCTGCTTTTTTCACCACGGCTAGTGCTAGCACCTCTCTGATCCTCCTGCTATTGAAGCACCCCTCAGTGATTGAAAAAATAAGGCAGGAGCTGATGTCCCATGAGTTGTACCAGCAGAGTGAGTGCTGCCCTGCTGGACCCTGCCTGGACACCCTGACCATCCACAGCAGGGACAGAGAGAAACCACTTTCCCACCCCATGGCCAACGACATTCACAAGGAGCAGAGCCAGCCCCCAGCCCCAGTGGAGGAAGATTCCCTCCAGCCCAGTGCCGTGCTGGAGCCCACTGTCCCCCGGAGCAGCCCCGGCCCCCAGCTCCCGGCACCGCCGGGGCAAAGCTGTCCCTGCCCCGCAGACATCAGCCTGGAGAAGCTGAGCCGCCTGCGCTACCTGGACTGTGTGATTAAGGAGGTGCTGCGAGTGCTGCCCCCAGTCTCCGGAGGCTACAGGACGGCACTGCAGACTTTTGAGCTCGATGTAAGTGTCCCGCACTCCAGCAGGCTGCTAAAGAGCTGCTGCCTGCCTTGTGAGCAAGCACCCTGTGTCCCGCGCAGTGGTGGCGCTTGGCAGTGTAGCTCAAGGGGAAATGTCACCCAGCAGCATCTGTGAGTCCCAGTTGGGCTGGGGAGAAAAGGAACTGTAGAGTAGGTGGGCAGTGCAGTGGGGCTGTCTGCAGGCACCCTCTGCTCACCCTCCAGTAGCACAGGTATGTAACAGCCTCTCCTCTCTCTTCTCTGCCTTCCCCAGGGCTACCAGATCCCCAAAGGCTGGAGCGTCATGTACAGCATCCGTGACACCCATGAGACAGCAGCTGTGTACCAGAGCCCCCCCGGCAGCTTTGACCCCGAGCGCTTCGGTGCCGGCCGGCCGGAGGCTGCGGGCCGCTTCCACTACATCCCCTTCGGCGGAGGGGCCCGCAGCTGCATCGGGAAGGAGCTGGCCCAGGCCATCCTCAAGCTGCTGGCCATCGAGCTGGTCAGCACGGCCCGCTGGGAGCTGGCCACCCCTGGCTACCCCCGCATGCAGACCGTGCCCATCGTGCACCCTGTCGATGATGGGCTGCAGCTCTACTTCCACCCCTTGCAGCCCAGCCAAGGCCACGAGGCCTGAGCCGGGGAGGGGTGCACTGCTCCCCTCAGCCCTGGGGCCGATGCCCCTCCACAGCTGCCAGGAGCAGGTCTCTGCTGCCCCAGGCTGGGAATGCTGCTGGGTTACTGCTGAACAAAACCTTAAAGGTCTTTCTATTTTCCTCTCCTGGTGTACAGGCTGGTAGGGTGTGTAGGGTGCTGCAGGAGGGTATCCTGCAGAGCACTCCTGAGCACTGGGGCAAAACCTGCTGAAGATGCTGGCAGGGTGCATATGCCATGGGGGCTCAGTCAGCCCCTGCCCCATACAGGCCTCCAGCTACCAGGGATGGGGAGCAAAACTCCCAGACCCGCAGCTAAGACTCCCAGGGTTATCTCCTGTAGGTGTGTTATAGGAGAGGCAGGAGAATCATCCTGCACACTGTAGCTTTTTAGATGAAAAAAGAGGGAGGTGGGGGGCTCTGCAGGAAAACATAAGCCAGAGTTGCCCAATCCCCAGCATCAACTGTAGCTAGAATAATAGGGTGTAAAGTGGTTTTTATTGTAAATATTTAATCTCATTCATGCACTTCCCATTAGAGCTGGCACAAGGACGATATGTCTCATTCACCCACTAGTAGCAGCTGTGTATGTTGTACTTTTGCACATCATAGCTGCTGCTTGGGGTCTGCCATGAAACCATCTCCGAGGTCCCGCCAGGATATCCTCCCCAGCCACAACCTGCCCATGGGATTGGACTGAGACAGGGGGAGGGGGCTTTGGGGAACAAATGTTTAGAAAACAGACATTTCTGAATCTGACTGATTTGTGGTACGAAGTCCCTTGTTCCTGATGATGCTGTTCACATTGCAGAGGGGACATTTGCAAGGTGCCACAGGCCCTGTGGTAGCTGGCTGGCTGGCCAGACTGACTGTCACCTCTGTCAGCCCAGCTCTGCCAGGAAAAGTGTCAGGACAGCAGTTCCATGCATCTATCCAGGGGGTGGTACCCAAGGCTAAACGTGGGTGCTGAGGGCACCCTTAAGGATGGCTTTTGAGTACCCCTACAGGTTATTTCTCTCCCATGTAAAATAAAATGAACTGAGTCCTGTTGTTTGTGTACTGAGAACAGAGCTGGGCACAGGTCCTTGATCCACAACAACATGTGTATGAATTTCTTTCAGCTTCATTTCTACTCCCCACTGTCATGCATTCTGTGTGAATGCAGTGGGAAAATAAATCTCCTTAAATCTCCTTGTCCCTCCAGAGCACCCCATGCCTGGTGGTGTCCGTGTGCTCTGTGTGAAGAACCAGCTTCACCTGTGAGGGCCAAAACATGGCACGAAGACAGTGTCCCTTTGGAAAGGCTGTGGGGAGCTCTCCAGGCTCCTGAAACTCTATCATCATTCTGCTTGGGTGCTAGAGATGGACTTGCCCTGGCCAATCCCCCTTGCCTGGCCGTGCTGGGGCACTGCAGCGACCACCACGCTACTTCGGACAGAAACCTGGCTCCCAAACGTGACAGGTCAAATCTGGAAGAGGTTGAACTGCAGGGCTGAGTTAAGTGCTATTGGCAAGTCGACCCTGTAGTGAACCAGAGCCTCTGGCCCTCCTGACCTTGTCCTGAAAGGTGAATCTTTTTACCTATCAGAGGTGAAATCAGTAGATGGTGGCTGCGAGTGGCAATGACTAACGTTAATTAGCAGGAGCTACTGGCTGGCTGAGACCGCAGGCGATTCAGGGTCTCACCGCGGGCAGGGCTGGGCCTGCAGCGTCCGGCACCCCGGGCAGGAAGGTCAGGGCTCCTCCAGCAGCGCACTTAAAAATTACCCTGAGCGCCAGCAAGCCCGCTGAAAAATGTAACATGAATCTAGTTAAAAAAAAAAAAAAAAGAAACAAAAAGAAACTGATAAACTGATTTTGTTTGCAGATAAACACGAGCATTTAACAAATGAAGTGTAATAATTGTTACTTGTAATCAAAGTTTGTTCGTATTAGGCTGTTAATTTCTTGACCCCCTTCCAAGATGTTTTTAATTATCCCTTTCACTCTTTACCATTTGATTCTTTTCAAGCCGATGGCTGGGGAATACACAGCTGGGAAGATAATAAAGCCTTCCTGTGGCAATTATCGGTGCTCAGGCCACCGTATCTCGTTATTTTGATAGACAGTGAACTTGGCGCGGTTGCCGGCCGGGTTCACGCAGATGTCACGGTCCGTGTTGTAGGTCACAAGCAGGTCAGCGCCCGGCAAGGGGAGAGCGCCGGGTCAGGGCGCGGCCGCCGCTCCCGACCAGCGCCGGCCGGGCCCGCGGCGAACGCCGAGGGGCTGCCGGGCAGTCAGCACCCTCCGGGGGGCTCCGTCCTGGGCAAGGGGCTGCGGAGGCGGGCAGCCCCGCTCCAACAAGGCATCGTAAGAGGAGGGCGGGTCTCGTGTGATGGGTTGATTGTTAGAAAAATAATAATTAAAAGCGACATCTCCCTCTCCCCTACACAGACACACACACAAAACTTCCAGCGTTTATTGAGCTTGTCTAGAACAAGAAAGCAAAAGTAACAGGGAGGAAAAAGATAAAAACGGCAAAGAAAAAAAAAAGTGTATTGGCCGCAGCCGTGGTCGGCGGAGAGCTCCGCGCCCCGCAGCCGCGGTCCGCGCCGGGCGCCCCTTCCCCAGCGGCTCCTGCGCCGGCAGCAGCAGCAGCAGCAGCCACAGCCAGCGCTGCCCTCCCGCCGCCCCGCTCCTCCCGCCCGGAGCCGCCGCTCCCGTCCGGAGAGCAGCGCCGGTGCCCGCCCCTCCGCGCCGCGCTGCAGGCGGGGTGCCCGGCCGCGCCGAGCGCCTCTTCCCGGCCGCGGCAGCCCCGACGGGATGCCGGAGAGCCTCAGGCGAGGGTGGGCACTGGATCCCGGGGAGAGCAGCTGGGAACGGCGAGTTTGGTGTTTCCTTTCCGCGCTCACCTCCTTTTCCTTCGGTGACCCGCGCTTGAACCTGCATCGGGAGGCTGAGACGGACTGCTGCCGGCGGCTCCTTCCTCCACGGCCGGCAGAAACACAAGCCATGCCTTTCGAGGTGAACCAGGGGGCAGCGGAGGCTCCTCCGCCGATGCCCCGGCGGCTCTGCTCAGGGGGTCTCCGGGCTGCCCCAGCACGGGGCAGCGTTCCCCCACGGTCCCGGCCCGGTGTCTCCTGGGTCCGGCCGCTACATCGCCGTTCCCAGACGACAGCGGTGGCGGGCGGACGAAGGAGCTCCGCAGAGCGCATCGGCGCCGGGCGGCAGCGCCGCGGGGTAGGTGACCGGACAGCCGGGCCGCCGGGTGCCGGCGCGGGAATTTCTGGGTGCAGCCGCTGGTCTCGAACGAGCATCGGCGATAAATCCGAGACGAGGAGGCGGTGGTGGCCGACCACCGGCTGTCAGCTGTCGGCGGCGTCCCGCAGCCCACTCACCGAGCGCGGTGCAGGGTCAGCGAGCCCAGCCCCCGACAGCACCTTTCCTTCCCCGGCAGCGGTCTGCGGCGGGTAGGATGCGCTACGCAAAGCAAATAGTTAAAGATTTCGAGGGGAGGAGCCAGGCCGCAATCCACAATTAAAGATGAACTTTGGGTGAACTAATTTATCGGACCAAGGTAGGGGTGGGCAGCAACCTGGGAAGGGTATAAAAGGCGGCCCGCGGCGAGCCCAGCCCGCGCACTCGGAGCTCCCGGGGGGCTGGGCGGGAGTCGCTCCCCAGTCATGGGCTTCTCCGCCCTGGTCGCCAGCGCCCTGTGCACCTTTCTGCTGCCCCTGCTACTCTTTCTGGCTGCCGTCAAGCTCTGGGACCTGTACTGCGTGAGCAGCCGCGACCCCAGCTGCCCGCTCCCGCTGCCCCCGGGCACCATGGGGCTCCCCTTCTTCGGGGAGACGCTGCAGCTGGTGCTGCAGGTAAGGCCGGGCGATGGCGCGGGGAGCGGAGAGGCGCCCCTCTGGAGCCAGAGCTCCTCGGGCTGCAGGGGAGGGAGATGAGCGGCAACTTTGACAGGCTCCCGTGCCCAGGTGGGAAAGAGCTGCTCTCCCTGCCTCTTCCTCTTATGCTTTCTAAAATTTATTTTATCGTTTCCCCCCTCTCATCTCCTGTCTAGAGGCGGAAATTCCTGCAGATGAAACGCAGGAAATACGGCTTCATCTATAAGACTCACCTCTTTGGGCGGCCCACGGTGCGGGTGATGGGCGCCGAGAACGTGCGGCACATCCTGCTGGGCGAGCACCGGCTCGTCTCCGTGCAGTGGCCCGCCTCGGTGCGGACCATCCTGGGCTCGGGCTGCCTCTCCAACCTCCACAACGGGCAGCACAAGCACCGCAAAAAGGTACGGGCCGACGGCGGGCGGGGAGCGGGCGCGGCGCCTCGGGGCGGCGGCTGAGCCTCTGTCCCGTTGCTCCTCGTCCCCCCGGGCAGGTGATCATGCGGGCCTTCTCCCGGGACGCCCTGCAGCACTACGTGCCCGTCATCCAGGAGGAGGTGAGCGCCTGCCTGGCGCGGTGGCTGGGCGCCGCCGGGCCCTGCCTGCTCGTGTACCCCGAGGTGAAGCGCCTCATGTTCCGCATTGCCATGAGAATCCTGCTGGGCTTCCAGCCCCGCCAGGCCAGCCCCGACGGCGAGCAGCAGCTGGTCGAGGCCTTCGAGGAGATGATCCGCAACCTCTTCTCCCTCCCCATCGACGTGCCCTTCAGTGGGCTCTACCGGGTAAGGCTCGCGGCGGGCCAGCAGGAAAGGCGGCCAGGGCATGGGAATCGGGGGCAGGGATGGCAGTACTGCCTGAGGCCCAACCTGCTCTCCCTCCTGCTCGGTCAGGGCTTGCGGGCACGCAACATCATCCATGCCAAGATCGAGGAGAACATCCGTGCCAAGATGGCCCGCAAGGAGCCTGAGGGGGGCTACAAGGACGCGCTGCAGCTGCTGATGGAACACACGCAGGGTAACGGCGAGCAGCTCAACATGCAGGTAAGGTTCCCCCGGATTAATCTCTTTCCCTCAGGCCCTCTAAGAACATAACAATTACTTTGTGGGAACAAAAGGGAAGAGCAGGAGATGCTCTTTCTCCCCATGAAATAAACCAGCTAATGTTGAGCACTAGGATGCAGAGGCTGCAGTCAGGCTGTTGGATGGGGAGACATGTCTGCAGGGAGCATAAGCACAACCAACCACCTCCATCCAGACCCCTGGGTGTCTGTTCCAGTTTGGGAATGATGTACAGCATTGCAGTGGTTGAGTGGACCTGGTACTGTGTTCAAGGCCTGGTTTAAGCCTCTTCTATCCTTTGTGTAAGGAGCTGAAGGAGTCTGCCACAGAGCTGCTATTCGGGGGCCATGAAACCACTGCTAGTGCTGCCACGTCACTGATCGCCTTCCTCGGGCTGCACCATGAAGTCCTGCAGAAAGTGAGGAAAGAGCTGCAGGTCAAGGTTTGTGTCTTCCCCAGAGGCATTTCACAGGAGGGGGCAGTGGGAGGAAGGTACCTCCAGGACAGGTATCCCAGACAGGGCTCCCTTTGATCCAGGTGGTGCTCTGTTTTAGGGGTGGCAGGAAAATACTGCTTGTAGCTGGGGGGCAACTGCTTTGCAGTGCCAGGAGCCCTGGCTGTGTGGTTCATGAATGTCACGGCAGCATTTTCCTTTCTAGGGGTTACTGTGCAGTTCCAACCAAGAGAAGCAGCTGGACATGGAGGTCTTGGAGCAGCTGAAGTACACAGGCTGTGTCATCAAAGAGACCCTCAGGCTGAGCCCGCCTGTTCCCGGGGGATTTCGGATTGCACTCAAGACCCTTGAGCTAAATGTAAGCAAGGTTTGGGCAGGACTCCTCAGAGCAGCTGCAAAGTATTTTGTGTTCATGTAGCCTGTCTGCCTTAGAGTGACCTGCAGGAAGCCAGGAGGGGAGGTGGGGTGCACTGATGTGTCCTGTTCTGTCACTTCACGTTATTTAACACAGCAAGGTGCTCCACATCTCCTTTCTGTTCTTTTTTTTTTATAGGGTTACCAAATCCCCAAAGGTTGGAATGTTATTTACAGTATCTGTGATACACATGATGTGGCAGACCTCTTTACCAACAAGGAAGAGTTTAACCCAGATCGCTTCATGTCTCCATCTCCAGAGGATTCCTCTAGGTTCAGTTTCATTCCTTTCGGTGGGGGCTTGAGGAGCTGCGTGGGCAAAGAGTTTGCAAAAGTCCTTCTAAAAATATTTACAGTGGAGTTGGCTCGGAGCTGTGACTGGCAGCTGCTGAATGGACCTCCTACAATGAAAACAGGCCCCATAGTGTACCCTGTGGACAATCTGCCTACCAAATTCATTGGTTTCAGTGGCCAAATCTGAGAGCTCAACCCTCCAAATGGATTCCTATATAGCATTTAATATGTACATAGTAACTTTTTATAGTAACAAAGGCCTTTAAATATTTAAAACTTGTAAATGTACAATAGTTATTTATGTCTTCTAAGTATTTCAAGAGGCTATGATATTTTTCCCCCAAGCACTACAATTATGGGTCTCTGATTCATAATTAGATAATGTTATTTCTATAGAAATAAATTTTCCCCTATTTAAAACTATCATTGAGAGCTGGCCAGCTAAGCATTTGAAGACATTTCAGGATGGTGTATGTATAAGAAATATCTGAAAAGCATTCAAAACAATGGTAACTAGCTACTCATCCAAATTACCTGAAATGGTTATTGTTTGAGAATGTTTTCAGTATTATTTGTGTCTAGATTGTATGTTTAATGTGTGAATTTTAAGTTTGACAATAAAGTTTATTTTTGATGATCCTCTGTATGAAGATCTGTGTGTATGCTAGAGAGTAACTTAATGGATGTGGCTCTAGGGTTTGGATGTAAAGCCAGATCTGCTTCTGTGAAAGAGGTATTTGCTATTTTTGTGTTCCTAACTCCTCCCTCCTTCACATGTAGTTGTTTATTGTGAGTAGTTAATTGTTATAAATTTTAGCTGTAAATGCAAGAACAGTACAAAACCGCATGCTCACTGAAAACTGCATGGAGTGATGGCAAGTGCTACAGGTCTCGTTATTAAGCACACCATGTTGAGCCACAGTAAATCAGAAAGGAAAGCAGAATAATGTCACATAAGTTTTTCTCTGGAGCTAGTTGAGGAAAAAAAATCCACAGATGTCCTCTCCTCCCATATTAGTGCTGACCTGTGTAAACACACCACTGAATCTTGTTCTGTGTTGAGCTTGCTGGCTATGAATCTGTACTTACGAAGGTTCCCTTATCAGCTGGTAGAGCAAATAAAATCTGCTGATTTCTCCTTGAAATGCAACAGCTCTGACTAGGTGAGAGATAGAGCATGCATTTGGTTTAAGAACTTCTTTCCTGGAATTCAGCAAAGTGAAAACTAAAAGGCAGGCACTAATGTGAATTGATTAACAGAGAATCAACTGTTGAGATGCAATTCCCCGGGGGTGTGTAAGCAGGGCAGATAAAATGCCCTAGGCATGACCCCTATTTTGGCTTAACCATAAGGGGTTTTGTGGCCACCCCAGCTTACTACACCTATTAGTCTTCCCTCAAAAGTCAAACAACATAGGGTGGCTCTATAAACATCTACAAAGTAAACCAATGTAATTCAGTGTCATGAGCACTTGTAGCACCACATAGAATAGTTAAATTTTTTGTTTACTTTTGGAAAACAGTCACTTTTTTATTATGTTCTCCCAAGATCAAAATTAAGGACAAAGCTAAGTTGCCCAAAATAGCATCTATGAGGTTTGGAATTTTTTAAAGGGGCATTTCTGCAATGCATTTGATATGTTTCCAGCTAGCATTTTAAACACGGGGGCGTCTAACACATGGCTTTAGACACAACCTACGTGTAACTATCAATAATTTTTTGTACTCAATTTTTTGTAGCCCCAGAAAGCATTCTTTTTAAATTGCACCTGAGTCATCCTGACAGTGTTTAAAATCTTAAATATTTTCTCCTGTGCAAACTTCTTGTACCATTATGTTTCTCAGGGACTTGATGAATAACCTTAGTTTAAACCCCTTTATTGCCAATATAGTAATGGAAAATTGCAAACCTTGATCCTGATTTGGAGGTGATCTGGAGTCTGAAAAACAGCAGGACCCTTGTCCTGGTATTCTTTACTAACATTTTCTTCTGTAACATCAAAATGTTCTCCAAATCCAAATAGATGCTGATATTCTCTAAATGTTTTGCTTGGTTTTAATTAAAATCTTTTATATATGGGAACTTTTTGCATGGTCTTCATATTATTTTAGTTTATATTTTATTTTTATAAAGAACGGGGACCCAAGTGCTGTCTGGAGAATACAAACACTTTCACAGTGTAAGTCTAAGATCATACATGCAAGTCTTTAATTTTTGGTTTTGAGTCAAGTTTGCATGGCTTTTATTTTTGAGGAAGAAAAAAAAAATCTTATACTTAATTTGATTTTGTCTGGACATCTGGGGGCACATCCTCAGCTGCTGTAAATCATGACAACATAACCTATGTTAGGTACTGCCCCTGTAATAATTTATCTCTGTAGCTAAGCGCTCTGTCACTGCTGTGCAATTTAGGCATCCTGGAGCCAGCTTTAACCCAGCTATCCTGAGGAATGGTAGCAGGGCAGCTACAGTAAAACGGAGCTCAGTGTGGGTTAATTGCTGAAATATTTGCCCAACTTCTTGAGCAGGTTTTACGGCCGCTGCTAATCTCCTGTGTGCAGCTGTATTTTGACAGCTTGGACGCTGGCTGCAGACCGGTTTCAGGTGAGCTCTGCTGTGAGCGCTGCTCAGCAGGGCTGGCGTGGGCGATGCTGAGGCTGTGGTTGCTGTTTGGGCTCTGCAGCCCGAGCCCCCACCCCTCTTGTTATGCCGGGTCCAGGAGCTGATGTTGTTGAAAAATTACCTACCAAAAAACGAATTGCTTTTGGCCAGACCAGGTCCTCATTCCAGCTGCCCACACGAGCATAGTTTGTGCTGGGGAGCTGCACCGAGGCAGGAGGAAGGGGATTTCATATTCCTCCTCTTGGTTAGCCTGTTATTTAAAAGAAAAATATTTGACCAGGTCTCTCTTCAAAAAAATCACACACAATTTAGAAGGTGCTGTGCTTTGGTCCTGGAGTAAAAAGCCATGATTTATATGTAGCATGTTGGTTCTTCCCCGAGGGTAAGGTGAGTTAATAGAACCCACACTTCTCCCAAAATCATGTGAGTAACAGCTCCTGCCAGCCAGCAGCATCTCTAAAGCTTAGAATTTCTAAACTATCTGTTAAGTTCTGAATGCGTTGTTCTTAACAACACACAGTTGTATCTACTCTTTAATCAAAAGGACATTTATGAATTACACTGATGGAAGTTGGCATTGAGGAATGCTACTTGATGAATCAATACTTGATTGAAAGGTAAGAGTATTTCCAGATAAGGTCAAAACATGTAAAAGTGGATTTTGCTGGTGGTTATATGACTAAGGAAAAAAAATGCTGAAGATTTATTGGAAATTATTAAAAATAACTTGATGAGGTTTATTTATTTTGTCCTTGTGAAACAAAGACATGTTACTTGTATGTTGCTTACAGCACTTGAGCTGGGAAATATTTTCCTTTGTTATGGTTCATAGAAGCACCTATTTAAGGGATAATATAGTTTGAAGTCTTGTATGTTTAAGGTTTGAATTTTATTTTATTTTATTTTATTTTATTTTATTTTATTTTATTTTATTTTATTTCCTTACAGGAGTCTTTTCCTGGACCTTGCAAGATGAGAGGCTGACAAAAAGGTTTTCCTTCTTTCTACTCATTTCAATCCATTGTTTGTTTTCTTATTTTATTCTGTTCAGTGATTTAGAATTAACCTTTGGAGAGGTACCAAGAATACTTAATAATATGTAAAATACTTAATCTTTGACTTTCAAGTTGCATTTTCCTACGTGCTACAAGAAGTTTTAAAAAATGTTTTTACAAATCTGCATGTAGCCATCTTTGAGAACAGAACACTGCTGTTTTTTGTTAATTCTATGCATCTGCAGAGGTTTTCAGGGTGGATGCTGATAAAATGATATGTCTGTCTTTTAGAAATTAATGTGCATAAAATTAGAACCCTTGTTCTATTTTTTTTATCATTGGAATTGATTTCATGAGGTATAAATTCTGAAAATTTGCAATCTCAAAGGGAGCTGCACTGCCTAGATTACCTGAAAGTCCAATGTTACTTTTGATATAGTCTTAAACACCAACTAAATACATGAAATAGCCCATGTGTAAGTAACCTATTGCTGAATTTCTTTACCTGAAAACTACAGCATATCATCTTTCCTAGAACAGTCTAACAGGATTGTATGCAAGGCTCCTGGATCTTTCACAAGGCTAGGCAGGACATTTGCACAAACCAAACTTTAATTTACTGACTTTTGCAAAGATTTAGAGATTTTAAAATGCAGACACAAATCCTGAGTTTGAGATATACTGCTGGTATGTTCCAGACCCAAATTAGTGAATTTATTTATGGCTTAAAGGTACTATGTTACATGTAGTTGTCCTCTATTGTAACAAAAAAAGAGTGGGGTGGTTTTGGATAGCATTTAATTGAGATAGTTTTGTTTGCCAGGTGGTTTGTATTGTAATTTCTCTGTCAAGTTATACATCCAGCATGCAATGCAAAACATATACAGATTAGCAGCAAAAATTCAAAAAGTTTATTAGTTGCAACCATTAGAGTGATAGATTAGGAGAAAGGAAATGTAACTGGCAGCAAGTTTAGAGAAGACTCATTACTAGACTGGCTTGCTTCACTTGTTTAATAATGTCTTACAAAAAATGTTATATGAGAAGTTCAATGAATAATGCAGCCTTCATTAAGTTATGTAAATGAATGTAGCTTCGTGGGTGGGTTAGAAATAAAATATTTAACAAATCTGTTTATATCCAAAGAGTAAAAGCAGCGGAAACAGCTTTTAAAGAATCTGAGATTTAAATATTTAAAAGGTGACAGACAGAACTTTCCTAGTAGGACATAATAGTGCTGTTTTAATAGGTGTTTACAGCTTGGCTCTCAGTTGCAACATAGGCAGGGCAAGATATTAAGTGTTCTCAGTTAATGAAATGTTATTTGTGCCTTTATCAGCAGCCCCAACATTGCAGTTTCCTTGAATGCCGTTAGTGCCCCGGAGACGTGCAGGGCTCGTGTGATTTGCAAGGCTGGAGGAATCATTTCAGCAAAAGTGACTTATGATGTACTTGTTTGCCAGGTCATTTTGTTCACAAATACACAATTATTCATATGTTGCTAGATTTCAGTGCTTTTCTTTTCCCCAATTTATGACCACTCAGGAAAGCCTTAGAATTCATGGGTTCAGGCTACGC